AAAAGGTTTTTAGTTCATTTCATAGGTATACCTATGAAATGAACTAAAAACCTTTTTCTAAATCAGTTTTTAATGCTGATTCAGAAAAATATAGTTCGAACCTTCCATCGTGCAATACAAGCACAAAAGGTCAATTTCATCAAAGAAGACGGTTTTTTGTATTTTTGAGGTCTTCTCAGTAATTTGAGTTTTACTCCACGAAGAAATGACTTTTGGAGGCTCGGAAGGTGTTATTCGTAATCAGCTCGTTAAATTGAATCTGAATATGTATAATAAAATCAAAACAAAATTCCACTTGAATTTTGCATTAGCTGAACCTTACAAAATTTGAACCTGCACAAACAGTGAATATTTAAATACCTAGCAATTTAAGAGGCGTATAGACTGTGAATCTGCACAAACTTCGAATAGCTGAATATGGAAGCGGCATATAGAATGTGAGCCTGCTGATACTGTAAATATCTAAATATATAAGAGGTCTATAAACTGTGAGCCTGCAGAAACCGTAAATATCTAGGTAGCTAACAGAGCTTCAAAATATGAACCTACACAAACAGTAAAAATGTAAATATATAAACATCGAAGAGGCCTGTAAAATGTGAACCTGCAGAAACTGTAAATATCTAAATATCTAAGAGGCCTTTAAATTGTGGGCCTGCAGGAACTGTCAATATTTAAATATTTAGCAATTTACGAGACCTATAGACTGTGAATCTGCACAAACTGTGAATATATAGTTATCTAACTATTTAGGAGACCTAAAAAAAATTAACCTGCAGAAACTCTAAATATCCAAATATCTAACAGACCAACAAAATATGAACCTGCACAACCTGTTAATATCTAAATATCTAAGAGGCCTATAATTTGTGCACCCCCAAGCACCATAAATATCTAAGTAACTGGCAAACCTTCGAAATATGAACCTACACAAACTGTAAAAATGTAAATATGGAAGTGGCCTATAGAATGTGAACCTGCTGAAAACTGTAAATATCTAGGTAGCTAACAGAGCTTCAAAATATGAACGTGCACAAACTATAAATATTCAAATATTTAATAGACCTATGAAAGGTGAACCGGCACAACCGCTAAATATCTAAGATGGCTATAAATTGTGCGCCTGCTGAGAGTGTAAGTATCTATGTAGCTGACAGAGCTTCAAATATGAACCTGCACAAACTGTAAATATTAAAATTTCTAACCGACCTGTAAAATTTGAGCTTGCAGAAACTGTAAGTATCGTAATAGTTAAGAGACCTTCAAAATATGAACCTGCACAAACTGTCAATTTCCAAATATCTAAGAGGGTTATTGAATCTGAACCTGCAGAAACTGTAAATATCTAAATATCTAAGTATTTACGAGGTCGATAAAATGTGAGCTTGCAAAAGCTGTAAAGATCTAAACAGCGAATAGAGCTTCGAAGTATGAACCTACAGAAGCGGTAAATATCGAAATATGCAAACTTATCACAGACATAGAAAATTTGAACTTGTGGAAACTGTAAATATCTAATTATCTAAGAGGGCTGTGGAATGTAATCTTGCACAAACTGTAAATGTCTATATATTTAAATATCTAGCAGATGATTTTGAAATATTTGAATATCTAGGGAGCGGGGGCGTCCATCGCCTCCGAAAAAATGCAGTTTGCAATAAGGGGAAGGACTTTTTTGTTCATGACGCCACTTGTTTGGAAAGAAAATATGCCGAGAAGGCTTGTGATGTACGTACGTACTGACGTAGTACTATTTATCAGCAAGGTATGTATATTGCCTTGGCTGGCTTTTTTTGTCCATTGCGTTCCAACAAGACAGAGTTTCTCTGTGCGCATAAAGAACTAAATGGTGTCTGCAGCGTGTGTACAAATTTTTGTTTTTGAATTTTCGTTCGCGACAAGTTATTTACAATTTCTTTCTTACGAAACTGAGGTTTTTTCGCAATTTTTGCAGATCAGGGTGACTTTTAGACAGTGAGTGCTGTTCAATTTCAAGTGCTTTTTCTAAAAAAGAAAATGCTTTCGCGTACTCTCCCAGTTCGGAATACACCATACCAATGTTGTTGTAGGAAGCACCCAATAATGGATGCTTCGGTGGGAGTGTTTTTTGGTCGATTTCATGTGCTTTTTCGTAAAACGAAAGTGCTTTCGAGTACTCGTGCGTGCTATTATACACCGTACCGATGTTGTTGTAGGAAGCAGCCAAATCGGGATGATTTGAAGGGAGTATTGTTTGGAAGATTTCAAGTGCTTTTTCGTAAAATGAAAGTGCTTTAGAGTACTCGTGCGTGCTACTATACATCGCACCGATGTTGTTGTAGGAAGTAGCCAGCGATGGATGATTGAGAGGGAGAGCTTTTTGCCGAATTTCAAGTGCTTTTTCCTGAAACGAAAGTGCTTTCGAGTACTCGTTTATATTATAATATACTAAACCGATGCTGCTGTAAGAAGTAGCCAAATCGGGATGATTTGGAGCGAGCGATTTTTGGCGGATTTCAAGTGCTTTTTCGTGAGACGAAAGCGCTTTCGAGTACTCTCTCAGTTTGGAATACGTCAAACCGATGTGGCAATAGGAAGTAGCCAAATCAGGATGATTTGGAGGGAGAGTTGTTTGTTCGATTCCAAGCGCTTTTTCGTGAGACGAAAGTGCTTTCGAGTACTCTCCCAATTTGGAATACACCGAAGCGATGTTGTTGTAGGAATTAGTCAAATCGGGATGATTTGAAGGCAGTCTTTTCTGGTAGATTTCAAGTGCTTTTTCGTAAAACGAAAGTGCTTTTGAGTACTCTCCCATGCCCTTATACACCATACCGATGTTGTTGTAGGAAGCAGCAAACCATAGAAGATTTAGAGGGAGTGTTCTTTGGTAGATTAGTAGTGCTTTTTCGTAAAATGAAAGTGCTTTTGAGTACTCTCCCATGTTGTTATACACCGTACCGATGTTGTTATAGGAAACAGCAAGCGATGGATGATTTGGAGGGAGTGTTCTCTGGAGGACTTCAAGTGCTTCTTCGTAAAACCGAATTGCCTCCACATACACCCCTTGGTTATACTTGATTAATCCAAACTGATGATAGAGGTGCGCTTTCTCCTCGTCGTTGTGTGCCTGATCGAACAGTGCCCGGTACAATTCTTCGGCCTTTTCAGACTCGCCTAGTTTAATTAGTAATAGACCCAGTCGAATCCACCCTTTTGATCCTCGAACTGTCTCGTCTCTCATTTGTTCGGTAAGAGCACTGAGGTGTGGGTCGTTATCGTCTGTCAGTGTGAGTTCCACCCTCCAGAGTCGATTATTGTTGTCGATCTGCTTGATTTCACTGATTCGAAAAACGCCGTGCATCGAGAAGAGGATCTCGTTTTCAGACTCGTTATAATAACTGACATTGTCGATGAGCGCAAAAGGAGTCGATGAAATCGATGGATCAATAGTTATTGTGAAGAGGATGCCCATCGATTCAGGATTGGTTAGAGCACGGCAAGCAAAATTCATTGATACCTCGAGCTTTTTACTTGTTGACAAGAAATTGTTGAACGACATGAGCCCGCCTTTTGCTCTCAGCATTTTTTCAAAGTCCGCCATTGACATACCTTGACCGCGGTAGACAGTAAATGACCGTCCGAGGTGGTCACCGAATTGCTCCGAGTGAAGTTGTTCGATATGTCGATGGAGATCTCGAACGAAAAAACCCATTTTGATTATTGTATCAACTTCTTGAGTGCGTAGGGCCCGGTTGAGCATATGATAGATAAAACACTCGTAAGTATACCACCAGATAGGCGACTGATGGTGATATTCTCGCTGGAACTTATCGATAATCAACAGCTCGCGAGGGTTTTCGAGGTAGTGATCACGACAATAGGCAGCCAATTCTTTGATGGATTGTTCATTATATTCGATTTCTAATAGAATTTCCTTGAGTATTTGTGTATACATAAATGATTGATCAAGTTGGTCAAAATTTCGATTTGATGCCTCAGTCGCCGAAACAAAACTGACTGAGATAGAATCTTGATCACATTGTCGTACAGCTTGTTTAAGTAAATCACAAATGGGAGCGATTTGTGTAAAAGCACCCTTCAATTTCGACCAGTCTTTCACCCATTGCTCATGGCTAGACTCGTTTTCCCATAAAACATAGACTGAATCGAGTTGAGGCACATCATGAATTAGTGGTAGCATGTGTTGGCCGAGAGCACCCGACACAATCATGAATGCCTTTTCGTGTTGGATTTTAGTTAGGAAATCGATACATTGATCGGCATCGCTGAATGTATTGATGGTATTGAAAATATGTCGTAGTTGAGTGATTGAATTACGACAATCGTCATTTGATTCGTCAACGTGTGAGTCCAGCCATATGAGAAGAAAATTTTGAACGATACGAATTGGTACACGGCGTGCTGTGGCGATGGTACCATGTTCTACCGCTGAAGCACTCATTGATGATCGTGCTGTGGCGATGGTACCATATTCTGCCGCTGAAACACTCAGTGATGATCGTGCTGATGCAGTTGTACATTTGGACTGTTCTTCGTCCATGTTGTGTGCAGGTAGGTAGGAAAGCTGTCCTTGATTATATGTCTCTCCAAATTGAAACGGTCGATGAAACGATTTATACGAAATTTTGCTTTCTTTGTTTGGTTATTTTTCTGTCGTAAAGGTGTATAGGAGAAAAAGGATTTTTCCTTGTCAAATGGTATACCGACACAGCTCGATGACTCAAAACAAAAATCAGTACATAAGAATGCACTTGGCGGCACTACATCTCTAGATGCTTTTCCAGTTGCTATCACCATTCGCATTTGTAATGTGTATTTTGAAATGTTTAGTTGATTTTCAGTTTTGGGTGAAAATCTCGGTAATTTTCAATTTTGGGTGATAATTTTTCAACCTGAAAATTCAAAAAAAGCTAAACTAGTCGGATAGGATAGAAATACATATCAGTCGACTCAGTTTTTGATCCTGATCCTGAATATGATATTTTTATTGACCAATAGTTGAGTTCTGATCGAGAAAATGAAGAATTACGGACATAATTCCGACATTTTCGCCTCAAAATTCGAAAAAAAAGCTCTACATTTATTGTAAAGCTTGTTTCAAGGTGCATCTTTTGACGTGTAAACGAAGGGTGTAGCTCTTAACCCAAAAAATTAGATACACCTGACCAAACTTTCAGTTTTGGGTTACGAGACTTGAAAGTGGCTTGCCTAATATCAGCTTTTAATGAGGAATCGAATAAGACCAAGCTCGAGTCTCTACGATAAAACCTGACGAAACGGCGACGTTTTTTCGCAAAAACCAAGATTTTTGATCTTTTTGAGACCTTCTCAGTATTTTAAGGTTTTCTCAGCGAGGAAATGTTTTCTGAAGCTGGGAAGGTGACATTCGTGATGAGCTGGATGCGCTGAACAAGAACATGTATCTCATAGTCTAAAAACATTCCACTCGAAGTTTGCTTATCTTGTAAATGTAATACTAAGTGCTGTTTAATTTGCACCACTTGTTTCAATGTGACTGAAAAAGATTGTTACTATGGGACATAAATGTTTAACCGACCAGAATTTGTAATGTCTATAGTTTAAGGGGTGTATAAACTATAGACAGGTAACAAGCTGAACACTATAACGCTTTTGTTTTATTAACAGAAAATCAATCGGGAACGCCCTACGTACATCACAGTTTGCTGTAAATAAGCGAAAACTATCAGAACAACGTAAAAATTGTAACCATTTTGCTCAACTTATACAGTAAGATGTGCGAAAGATGTTATTCACAATTTGACATTACACATATACCCTGATCGTCCTACATACACGAGCAAATAAGAACTGCATATGCTGTTTCTACTCTTTACGAATGGATCACCCTAAAAAGCTTTTCTAGCAGTCGCATTTTCTAAACAAAAGCTATATAGACTCTATTTTGATTTTCAGTTCTTTTGGACATCAGTCCCACATATGGTCAACCAACGCTGCTTTAAGATATATTTAACAGATCAGACGTGCAGAAGTAAACATCATTGGTATTGAAAATTATCAAAATGACAACTAATCGCTCATGAGAACGAATAGTCTCTGCATAACGAAAAATCAAGATGCCATTAATTATGGTGAAGAAAATTACAGTATTCCTTAAAAGTAGCGGATCCCCTGTAACTCAAGATCTATGATAGCTGGGGATTTCTAATTGTGTGTGGTCATAGCTCTTACCGAATGCTGATCATCCACCAAGTTTGGACCTCTTTTACTGGATGGTTCGTGAGATATAAGCGTTTTACTTCTTTTCGTAAAATGCTAATAACTCCTAATTCAAGAGAAAAGAAAATGTTTTCTTTTGACCAAAATGTAGTCCTGATCTTCCTCTATCTATGGTATGAATTTAGACCGATAGTTGTTAATGGTTATTGAAAGACAGCTATTTTACGATCGAGATCTCTGGAAATGAGGTTCTGAGATATGAGGTCCAATTCATTGAGAACGAGCACTCACGATTGAAACATACGTAGCAGAGCGAGGGTGAGTAACTAAGGATCGCTCTTTCTACTACAGAATCTGCTTTCAATGCGCATCATAATTATGAAAAATAATCATAGAAACCTATGGTTCCGAAAAACGTAGGTGAAACTTTTGTCAGAAAGATTATACACTCACCATTAACCTAGAGAGAACATTTTCAGTGAAAGTTTTTTGTTCGAAAACCAAATGTTAAGTATGCTGTTCCACTCAGTTTTGTTTGCTGATCAAATATGTCGTTCGTTTTGCTTGAAAATATAAGGGAAATGAAAAGGGCGCAAAATAAATGAAGAGGTGAAGGTCAGAGGTGAGTGTGTATTCACTCAGTTGTTGTATTTTATTGTGAAAAGTAACATTGCCACGAGATTCAACATAGCCGATAACTTATATTTTCATTCGTTTTTGATACTCCTAAACCTACTGCCTGTTCAAGCGTAACGGCGTCAAAATTTTGACAAATTAAATTACAGTTTTCTCGAAAACGAAAAGACTTTGCGAGGCAAATCTTGTAGAGTTTTTCGCGGGCTATCCAATGAAAAAAAGATTAGGCAGCTAGAATGACTTTTTCATTAATGAGTGCAAAAAACAAAACGTAACGGCGTCAAACCTTTTTCTTTTCTTTTCTGTACCATGTTTTTTTTCGTTGTTTTGTTTTTTGCTTGATTACCTGATCTTTTTCTACCTAAAACACACTCACACGATAAAGCCTGAATAAAAAGAAAAAAATCTCACTCACACTAACAAAGAAGCGACAGAACTATATTAAAAAATCTTTTGTCAGTTATATCTGATAATTCTCTTTCGAGAACCTTCCGAATAATACTTACATTTAATAGCTTTATTATCAATCACTTTAATACAATGAGTTTTTAACGTTTCCGGGACGGCTTTCACTACTGCAAAAATATTTTGAAGTTTATTTTTTGATGCATCAATATTATTTTATTTGTTTTTTGCTTTGCAATACGAACAAAATCTTCTGCTGATCTGCAGGTCTGACTTGCCAAAACCGCTCCCCAAACTAAACGTTTGACTGTTAATTAAACGTTTGACTGTTAATACCTTCTACAACACCTTTCCTATGGGAAGTTGCAAAAAAGTTCCACGTTAAATCAAACGAAAAACCTCGAACTAGCTATACTAAAGTTCGAAACATGAATCGTTGCTTGAATTGTGAAGCTGCACCATCCGAAAACTTTTTCTGACGTAAATTATTCTTTGTACGCAGTGCAGCTATTTCCACCACATTGAGTTTCGTTTTCGTTGCTTTTTTATTATCACGTTCTTTTTTAAGAAAATTTTCTTATTTTACTTTATCTTTTTTCATTTTCTCGCGATATTTTTTCATACGCTCCGCTGCGTACCCATATTGTAAGAAATCAAATCAAAGCAACGCCTTACCTTAGAAAAGAATAATAGGTGAATAATAACAAGATGCTTCTAGAAAAAAACTTAGATGTAAGCGCTTTTTCAGTGTCCACACACTCCTTTTATACAAAAGTTTAATCGAAAACGTGACTAGAAAACGTGAAAAGACACGTGTACTTTTGCTAGGCCGGTGTTATTGTGAAATGTAAAGGTCCGTTAACACGTGTGAGAGTAGTCTGTGAAGAAAAAAAAAGGGTAGCCTTTCGTATTCCCTTCGCTTCATGTATTCTAAATATACAATGGTTAGATGCAGCCTTGAGATGTCTACAAGTCTAGGCTATGTGTCAAAGTATTCATCAAGCTCGGAAGTTTCGGTTAGATAATGAGTAGCTATTTATAATTGTTTTTTTCACAGAGAATACGGACATTTATCAACAAGAATTAGTTGCACCAACAATTAACTTTTTTTGACGCCGTTACGCCTTTTTTGCCCATATTCGACTTTTTTGAGTTTTAAACTAGTCCATCGAAAAGCCCGTGAAAAATTGGTATTATCTGACGATTTTTTTCTTAAAAGTTTCTCGTTCAGCTCTGTTCAAAATTTAAAATGATGAATTTCGTAACGGCGTCAAAACAAATTTGACCAAGTATTGTTTTTCCAATAGCTCTAAGTGGGGGTAATGAAATGACTTCATTTTTACGTCAAAAGATAGCCCTTAAACAGCTTCATATGAACCATTAGAATCCAGATTCAGAAAAAGAGATTCCATTTATAGGTACGGTATATAAAAGAAAGTCTTCGCCCCAACTATAATAGGGTTTCTAAGAGGTGCTATTAAGGTGTTCTGAAAGATCGTTTAACAGAGTTCAAAATTGGACACAGACACATTTGGCTAGGTTTTCGACTATGCTTTTCGACATGGCATAAACGGCTTTATGCAACTCGAAAAAAAAAGACTTGGACAAGGAAGTGTCGCGTTAACTGGACAAGCCGCCTAACGGTAGAGTAATGCTAAGGCTTTAGGAAAAACGCCCATAACTCGCCAACCATGAATTTCTAAGATGTCACTAAGATCCAGCTTTGTGGAGGACACGTCGGACTATATATTTATGAAAAAAATTCACAGATTTCTATGCTAGCTTATAGAGAACTGATTTTCCAAGGATCTCCTGAAAAACCGATTTCGAATTCATTTTTGCTCATAAAAATATGCGGTCAAGTGCCCAGTTTTCAAAACTGAAAACCACAGGTCTCTATCAAAAGGTATTCAAAAAGTAACCGATGGCATTGTATTTTGGAACAGATAGTAGTTCTTGAAGTGAAATAAAACACCAAAAGATTCTTTTAATGCGAGCATAAGCACTTATCAACGACTGGAATTACTGTATGGCTGAACTTGTGTGAGACATTCTAAATATAACTATTTTCCTATTTTCTTCACAAGCAACTACTCTAGCCTGAATATCAAAAGTATCATGAAACGATTGAACCTTTCTAAAGGAGAACTGAAAGCTGAAATTATTGTTTTTCAAAATTTAGCAACTACAACCAGCGCTCACCCAACAAGCACTAGGTCAAGTAATTACTGCATTTGAGAGTTTTTTCAAATACTTGAGCTGTCATTGTTTTAGCCACAACAACAACATTTGCTTGTCCAACGAATTACTCAAGTCTTAATGCTGCATATAATACACTTCTCTCATCATCTCCCGCCGCAACAGGAGGTATAATAAAACTTTGGCATTGACCTTGTGAAGGATGATATGTTTTTCTTACAGCTTTTGATACAAATATTGTTGTAAATGGTGACGGAGAAACCGGTGTTTGTGAAACAAGTTTTGGCTCAAAATCTCCACTCGGCTGGACGACAAGCGGACCTATAACACAAGTATCTTACATCAATCCAACCTATGGTAATTTATCATTTTCTGATCCCGGACCGACGTAATAGTACATGAGATTTGCTTCAACCATTAGGGACGATTGTTACTTTATCACGCAATTGAAAGTATTTTGGTGCGTTTAGTGATCGTGGATGCTGCTACTTTTTTGGTCAAATATCAGCTAATACAAGTATGTCACAAACTATTAATCTAACAGCTTATTCAACGGTTACTGATACCCATAACGTTTCATATAATTTGTCGGCATGGTTCGGCGGATATACGACTAATGGTGACAATGCATCAATCGTACAATTCATCGTACAATTTTTCAGTCAATCGATGCTCCTGCTCGATTCAAGTGCGAAGATCGGTCCTGTGTTAGCAGCTGATCGAGCGAATATTTCGAAATTATTGTATCGATCAGATGATGGTGATGGTAAATGTTCGTTATCTACAAATACAAGTTGTCATAACATGATTCGTTCCAAATTCGAATGATGATGACGTTGACAACATATCAGTCGTACCTTCTCGATGAGGAACTTTTTGACAATGTTCAGATATATATATATTGGATGACCTAATTATCCATGTGAGAAGGAAGAAAAATTTCTTTGCCGTATAAAAATAAAACTAATATAGGTATTCCATTTCGCCAGCATTTAGCTTAGTGTCAGACCTAATTTTGATAAAAATACTAGGACGAAACTAAGTTTAATGTCATTTAGCTATTCTGCTAACAATCTTTGAAGCCTAATTGGATTTTATTCACTCTTGAAAAACGAAAATAAAAACAGAACTCGCAATTTGACTGCGTTAACAATTGACGAAGACGATAGCTATCGATTAATGTTGGTAAATAATTGATGTTGAGTGCTATTTTACAGTAAACGAATACGCTTGAGTCAAAATTAGTAGAATGCATTCCAGGGAGAAGTTTACTTTATTTTCGTTAGCACCTATGCATCTGCTTCATTTTCTTATTAAGTACAAAAACAATTCAAACAGGAGATTTTTAACGGGTGTTACAGAAAGAATGGCGTAGTTTTTTTTTCACTTTTTCTCCTCTTTCTTTGCACTCACAGATCTCATCTTATTACCAAAAGATTCCCTGTTCATTTCTATACAAAATGATGTACAGAAGATGATCCTAAAGGTTCAGACGCTGTCTTTATTGAACAAGCATCGAAATGTCCTGAAAACTTTAAAACATTAAATTTTTCCGCCTACACTGTAATTTGGAATTAATTTCTAGTTTATAGAAAATCGATCTGGAAAATCGTGGAGCTTTTTCTGATATTTATAAAATGCTCGTAGATTTTCTGACTTTTTAGAAATTCGCGATTTTCTA